GAGAAGCTAAAGAATTTAAGTGTTAAGAATTTATTCTAAAACACCTGTAGATTCTCTGGGCTATGATATTCAATCTCTCCAAATTACAAACTGTAGGCAGTGTGTTAGATACAGAATGTAACATTGTATGATGTACATACATACATGTACTATGTACAGTGTACATAGAGGGGTGTACTTGGAAATGAAAAATCTTGTAATACAGAGCAACGTATCAAAATTAAAAGTCAAAGAATGCAGTAGTGCATTGGACATTGTAGGTCAACATGTCTGCCCACACATCATCATTTGTACTGAACTGCTTTTTTAAATCACGGCATTGCATTTATTGTCAATAAATTGGTCGGTGAAGGGCGTGTATTATGGTGAACGCCCTTGAACTGCAGTAGTTGTGAAGTTTGATGGATGCTTGTTGACTTCAAGAGGTCACATGATCATGTATGGATTTAGAGATGACAAATTTAAATCAAGTGGGCTATGCTCAGCTAGCCACTGTATTCAATAACAGTTGGTTGTGTGATTTCTCTCTCTCTCTCCTCTTTCTCTCTCTCTCTCTCTCTCTCTCTCTCTCTCTCTCTCTCTCTCTCTCTGAAGGCCATGTGTATAAAGGAGTATCTGTAATGATGAGGAAGTACAAGTACATAATGTTAAGTGTGAACCTTTATTAAAAGTGACTTTTCTGAATAATCTCTAATACTTGTAACTTTGATTTTGTACACATTGTGCGTTGTGTTACAACTACAAATACGTGTACATCGATCCTACTGAAGAAATAGCCCTCAGGTACTTCATCATGATCCATAAGTTTCTTATTAAAGTTTCTGAATCATAGGAAACAGCAAACTTGATGTGTTTCCTTTCAAAACTCCTAGGCCAGATGTATATTGGCCTTATTGGGAATACACAGTACCAGAAATACCCTTGTCTGAATCAAACTATTGTACACTCCAAGGCAATGACTATATGAGAAAGGTTCAATTTGTACATTTTTTGTGCAGCTTTACTTTTTATGTGTACCGTACCCATTGTACCGTCCCCTGAGTGTCTATTGTATGATGCCATTCCTTGCGGTCATGACGGAACAGAATCATTCCTCAAACTTGACCGACTGTGAAAATATTCATTTTTCGTGCGAAATGTACATGTACTTTTCATCTAGCTCATTGTGGTATATATTCCCAGTTTACATTGTGTGTGTCTGTGTGTGTTCCCTCTTGTCTTTTTTTCTTTCTCTTTTTTCTTTCTCTTTTGATGAAAAATTCTATCCCAAGACCCCAACAATGAAGGAGGAATGTTGGCAAACTGCAATTAAATATTAAGTGGAATTTTTTGTGTGTGTTATAACAGAAAGCATCAATCTACCATTTATACAAGTGAAGTTCCATTTGTACATAAGAAGTACATAGGCAGACTTGCAGAGTGTCTTTCGCAGAATATGGGTGAGGGAATAGCGGTAAGAACCTGACATTGGATTTGGAATGTTAAATTTACAAACGTTGTTCAATCATTTCATTATGCGCTGCATTCTCTAATTCCTGCAGCTAGGTCATACAGCCAGTTTGGGCAATCAAATGCCAAATGCACGAGCTTTGTTGTCTATATTTGTAATTCTTGACTTGTAATTATAATGATGCAGGTTAAGTCTCAATAGGATAATGAACGAGACTTGTTGAGTTCATTGTCTGTCTCATTGACATTTAGTGAAACATGTACATGTACTATGTATGCACAAATGTATATTTAAATTATTCATTTCATACTAGGCCTTCATACATGTACCCCTTGTAAATTTGATGTTTTTTGTGTATTTTGTATTAACTCAAGAATGAAAGCTCGGTGTACTGGTCGAATTAGGGCCTTTAAATACTTTTAGATGGACGCTTTGATATGTCACATTCTCAGGAAACATAAACATCAGACAAATTAACTTTTAACATGTATGTACAAGATATAAAACTGAGTAAGGGTATGAATAATCTTGTTGTTAACTACTGTACATGTTTATTTGCTGATGGAACATGTGTTCCTGCATCAATGATCATTTGCTTTGAGCTACAGGTACTAGAGTTTGGAGTTTGGACTTTAATACAGGTGTGTAGGTTCCTGTCTGGGTTTGAAGTTCGCTATGACCGTGAAAAACCCCATCAACATCTACACTTGTTTTTTATTCACTCACATCTCCCAAATCAACTTAAGTGTGTAGAGTAATACTTGTAAACTCTGTGTGCACCTTACTGATTAAGAATATACATGGAGAATTTATAAATAACGGTGAGTAATTTATTGCGAGAAGTATTTACTTCCTATCCTTTTCCTTGTAAAAAGGTCATGTGCAATTTTGCGATATATTTCAAATGATCCTTTTAAATTCACAATAAGTGTTGTTTGTATATTGAAGCCTTTACATGTACTACATCGCTATGTAGGATGAGGCTTTCTTTATAGATGGGAAATTGATCATATGTGTAAATGAAGATAATGAGTGCATTATTAATGCAGAATACTCGAAGCAAATTTGTCCACAAGTTCATACATGAAGAAGATTACGTTGTTTAAAGTTCAAAGTTCAATTGACAGTATTTGTATTGTACAGTGTATCTTGTATGATTGACTAATTTGTTGACATTGTGTAAATTGCTATCGGAATTGAATCATTTGTGAGTTATTAATGATGAGAATTTTTTTATTTTTTTAATTTTTTTAATAGACCATTTCTACAGTACATGGATATTGAAATTCCCAAAGGCCAGTTCATGTACAAAGTAGGCCTGTATGTAAAGTGTACATGTATGTCATACTCTAGTAGTTATTATTAATATTATTTCTTTATTGCAACCAAAACTTGAGGTTGGATTTTAAATAAAACTAAAATACAAGCAGAACAATTGTAGAAATAATTAAGCTTGCCCAATTTGTCATGTACATGAACAGTGAACTGCACGATTTGACATGGAATGATATCAGTGTGACGATCTAGTATCTATCTACCCTGGCAGCAAAGGCAGGAATTCCAGGGGGTGTTTCACAAAGCCGTAAGCATCTTTTAGAAATATTTTGTAAAAGTTATTTTAAAAGGCATGAAATGTTGATTCAAATTATTCATATTTTCTATCATCAAGGAGATTTCATGTTTCTGGTTTTGAATTTATGAAAAGTCTAAACAAACTTGAATTTTTGCTTTTGAATATATACTTTATTTCAAGGCTACAAATGGCTCTTCATAGCCTTTAAGTCCAACTTAGAGTTAAGTTTGACTTTATGTAGGATCTTTGTGAAACACCCCCCAGGTTGCCGTGCAGGATTTTGGGTGGTCAGTGGCCTCTAGGCAACTGCTACATGTGATTTTGAACCCAGCACCTCTCATTAAATTGCACTTTTCATGAAAAAAAACAGCTTTTCTTGTTTCATCGTTATTGGAGAGGGTTTTGGACTCTGGCAACTACATGTATGCTTAATACCTGCTTGCCTGGCTGCCTCATTTACCTCCGATGAATAGTGACTTTATTGACATTTACCTGTACACCGGAGGAAAATCCCTGCCTGAGCTCTGAGTCTGATTAAATTAATTTAATTAGAGAAAGCATAACGTGCTGCTCTGCTTCAATACATATACATGTACATTTGGTAATGCCTGTGTGGATATGTGTACGAGTATTGCATTATTAGTATGCAACATTCCAGTGCTGTGTTCAGATATGAATATTATACAGATTTAAAGGCACTCCCTGTTGCAGACTTTTGCAAACTCCATGAAACTTGGCAAGTGTTCAAAATATATCCTTCAGGTATCATGTGTGAAATTTTACAGTTCTACATTTAGGTTCTGAAACTTCTTTGTAAGAAATGAAAATCTAGCACTGTCTTCATATTGCCGCAGAGGTAGCTATTCTCAAATCATAAGAATTATTACATGTAACGATCCTATTAAACTTGAATTAAGTTAAAATATTTGTTGAGTCCAGAAAATAAATATGTGGAATTAAACATTCAAAATTTACTGTTCATTGCCAGATTTCATTTTTTTAAATAATTTGGTGGGAGGCTCCTAATAATATTCCTCTTCAATATACCACTGGGTTCATGGAACTTCAGGTTTTAGGTACACAAAGGGACAAATCATCTTTAAATATCAACCAGGAAAGATGTATCATTTGAATGTATACAACTTATTGCAGGGGGCTGTATGTAAATGTCCGCTGAATACATATGATGTTATGGAGGTTTGTTTACATGTATACAGTGTACATGTAGCCTTTCCTTTAAAAGTTGACTCATGGGGGGCATTTGATGAGTACTGGTATTTGACTGTGTTATTAAAGATAAACTTTAGTACTGGTAATGCGATTGCGTTGTGAAAGAAAAGGTGTGGAAAGGATCAGAAACAGTTGATCATGTAGCATGTAAGTATTGGTGTGCACTGCAAGGTTCTGAAGTCATCAAAATCATAATAAATTTGACCGAGTCTTGGTAAAGTAACAAGCACTCACATAGAAAGCTATATATGGGACAACACACATGGTGTCGGGGCTAGTACTACCTTGATTTCCTTGTCTTTCTATGCTCATTACTCAGCCAGTATACATTTTCTTCCAAAATTGTTTGGCACATGTCATTTATTTGTAATCTTGAACATTCAGTGTAAGTTTCGTTTGATTCTGTGAGAATTAATTTTTTTTTTTACCAGTACTGGAGTTTATCTTTAAGCCCCACTATTTAAACTTCATATTTCCTTTTTGTTTCTTCCTGTTCTATTCTTCTCTCCTCTATTATTTCTTCTCCTTCTCCCTCCCTCCTCCCCTCCACATCCCTCTGTTCACCCCCTCTTTCTCTCTCTCTCTCTCTCTCTCTCTCTCTCTCCTCCCTCTCTCCTCCCTCTCTCTCTCTCTCTTCTCTCTCTCTCTTTTCCTTCTCTATCTCTCTCTTCTCCATCTCTCTCTCTCCCTCCATCTCTCTCTCTCTCCCTCCATCTCTCTCTTTTTAACTTTCTCATCTGTGTACAGGTCTATGTCAGTGGTAATTTCCCTCCTGACGTAATCACTGACCCCTCAGAGATCAGATGCACTTGCACAAGATATCCTGAAGCAAGGTACATGTACTGTACCAACCTGATAACAACAATGCCAGGACCTTGCTACGACACCAAGAAGGAAGTTCACTGATTCTGATACTGCTACATGTAAACCCAAGGGACCTCTCGCTGTATCATGGTCTAAAACAAAAGCGTGTCGCATGTGAAGACGGAAGCTCATTACCGCATCAGACGCTCGACGGCACATGCTGGCGAACATCCTTCCATGATCTTGTATTGGATTTCAGCCCGTGTCCAGAAAAAGTGAATCAGGATTTCATTACTCTCCAATCTGAAGCCGCTTTTGGAGGTGCTGTTTGACATTGGATTCCTGTATTGTTGTAAGTCGTAGAATGACATCAAGTGGGATATGATTAAGGGTGCATCAAAGAACTGCCACAAAGATATCCTCAAAGACTCTTAGATTCTCCTGCCCCCGACCCGTCCTGTCTAGGACACACCACTGCCATGGAAGAGCGGGATAAACATGTGATGCTGTCTCGATTCATGAAGATGACGCAGCTCGATCTTGGTTTTGCTCATGATCTCCTGGAAGGTAAGCTACAAAAATATTGAATAAATAACTGTCTCCTCCTCCAAGTAAACGGAGTCAGATATGTGTGAAATTAATTTCAAGAGTTAAAGTTTAATTTTTAGAAAAGACATATTGCAATAGTTATTCAACAATGAAGAATCACAATTTTTAGGCCTGACTTCAATAACTAAATTTCACTACTCTAGATATGAAGAAGAAACAATTTATACTTAAACATATGCATGTGTGTACATTTACATGCACATGTATGCCTAATGTACATTTGTAGATTGACGAACGTACATACTGTACAGGTACAGGTAATTCATTAGTTTTGGATCAAGTTCTGCTTGTACAAAGTACCTTCATAGTGGTGTAGTACAGTAGTAAGAATCAATAGGGACTTTTAGATTTACATGTCAACAAAGTAGCAGTCCACTATGTTGACGTGCAAATCTTAAAGTCCCTTTTTATCAATCTGTTTGTAATGTACATGTGCAATGTTGTAAATGTGAGGTTCTTAATAAATTATCAGGTCAGTGTAGACCAACTTCAAATTGGTCGCATTGCCTGGATTTTTATGGAGAGATAACCGGGTCAACTTATTGTCAAATGAAGCATGAATTCTTTGGGAATTGGAGTCGAGAATCAATTATATTGAAGTAGTCTGCAATGTACATGTAATTTGTGTATTCATTTGTCCTCGCTTTTGAGATGAAATACACTTATTGTTTGGTGGTGGTCGGGTAGCTGATTCTCAATAGATGATACCTTTAATATGCAGTGCTTGCAGTCAGAGAGTTCAGGAAGAGGTTAAAATATTTTATGAGTATTGTGTGTCCGTAATGTGTGTAGTAAAGTACAAGTATACCAATGTACTGTTTTGGTGTAAAGAGCCTATCTGCAATAGTTTGGCCAGGGGATTTAGACCTCCCTGCAAGGTCACTGACAGATGCTTATCTCATCAAACCAGCTCTCAATTAACATAAGAAAAAGGGGGTTATGGGGGACCAACAGGCCCTGATCAGGCATTGTTTGCTATATAGGGCACAAGTAGCTGTAAGTAGTGCAGTGGGGCTCTAAAGTTAAATAATTCTTGTATTCATTTTTTCACATTTTTCTGTTTTTGTGTTTGTTTATTTAAAAAAGGTCAACATTGGAATTTTGATGCTGCGGTAAGAGACTTCAAAGTACTCCAAGGTCAGAGAAGGCTGTCTGCCCAAAGACAAGCAGCCCCACCTCCGAAAACCTCTCCAAAGCCAAGTTCATCAAGGCCAAGCCCTGCAAAGCCAAGCTCTCCCCAAAGAAGCCCTCCGCAGAAAGTCTCTCCTCAGAGGAATTCACCCCCGAATGGACAAATGGTACAGCCCGTTCCTAGCAGGGCCTCCCCACAAATGAATGGGAGAGGGGGGCACTCCACGACGCAGAACGGGGGTGGCACATCTCTAAACGTCTTGCAGCAACCTAAGATGAGAGATCCTCCAAAGTCACCAGGTAAAGATTCTTGCCCATCCGTTTTATGATTTGGTCACTTTATTGTCTCCTGTAATAGGAAGAAGAAAAAAAATGTTTTGCAATAATGATTTTGTTTGGAAAGCCACCTTACTACCTGGTAACTTTCCCTGTTTTCCTTTGGTGGACTTTATAGACGGTTTACATACATACATGTACATTTACATGCAAATTAGAATCTTTAAAATGTACAAGATGCAGTTTTTGGCCGTCATCTTCAACCTAGGGTAAGACACTAACAGGTTTCCAGGACACATAGCCACCCTCCCCTAGGAATCCTACAGTAGGACTGTAATGGATTGATTTTGTACATGCCTTCTCTATAATTTCTTTCAATAGGAACCAAGAGACTTATAACCAAGAACTCTCAGCAGTCAAAACCAAACTGGTCAGCTATGGTTGCCAGAGGATGATAGATGATGAAGAGTGACACATCTATCATTTTCTTGATACTCCTCCAAGGTTTCCCTTCATCTTTAGGCCTTAAAATTCTGTGACCATGTAATGGAATGATTTCTCACTTTTTTTACCCTTCCTTTTTCTTCAACTAGGTACCAAGAGACTGACCAGAGGTCTTTCAGCGGTCAACACCAAACTGGTCAGCTATGGTCGCCAGAGGGTCATAGATGATGAGGAGAGCCACAACTATCAGCTAGTTGAAACTCCAAGGTACACCTTCACCTTGCCCGATCTCCTGGTGTACCCAGCCGACTTCCGTGCCCACGTCGAGAAGGATCTCATCGACTCCTGCACCATGGTCAACCTTGAAAACTCAGGTATATTTTAATCTTCTGGAATTATATTTTTACCAAATATGAAGAACTTCAGAAAGAGAAGTACAGTCAAACCTTTCTATAGCAACCACCCGAGGGAAACGCAAAAAATGGTCTTTGTAGACAGGTTCCTTGTACATGTTTCAATGAGAAACCATTTTCAAGGGAAACAAAAAATGTGCTTGTTGTAGACAGGTGGTCACTAAAGCAGGTTTGACTGTATCAAGTTTAAATTCTCTTCAACAAGGATTCTGACAAGGTTGTAGGTTGATAACCCAGTCACATTGACAAGTCCAACACCAGACCTACAGTAAGTAGACTGAATAAATGATTACATTACCCCAAACGTCCAGGAATTGGGGGCCAGTTTCTTGAAACTACCTTTTTAGACTAGGTTTGCGGACATCCATAGAAACGTATGTTAATTCTTAGCACATGTTTCAGTGGAATGTCCAAGAATTCATGCTTCTGACGGTTTTGAGAAACTGCCCCAGTTAGTTTGGAGTCAGCCTGGCAGGTGACTGAGGTACAAGTTTGAGTAATGGGAAAGGGACTAGATTGGTAATGAGCGTTTTTTTCATGTTTGGTTCATATGGAAAGAATGCCCATTTTTGTTTTGTTTGCTTCAAGACTTTGCAGAGATCGCGTGTCACAAGTTATGAAAATCTGTTCAAAAGTTTCACTCATCGCTCCATTTGTCTCCATTTGAATTCACTGGAGCATTGGAAATGTTTGCATCTCCCACAACCAGGGACGTGATAGAGAAGGACTTGAATCAAGCCGTTCTCCTTTGACCCCATGCTCCAAGCCGCCGGAAAGTTATGCGCTAATCTGCAGCTGTTGACCAGGTGGTGAAATAAAAGAGCGCATGAAATTTTAGGATTTAGAATTCCTACATCAGAAAATGGTATCACAGCAACTGTTCGCTGTCCCTTCCAATGATTTCTCATCCATTGTTGAATGTGTAAAGAGTAGAACAAGCGAACACAAACTTGTGTAATATCATTCTTTTTTAAACTTGAAAAATACAAAAAACACGCGAAAACACGCATTAGCAAACTTAATGTTATTGAAGATTGTAAATCATGGATCAAATAACGGGACATTAAAGCATGCACAAATTAGCGCATCTTCCTAAAATATTGAGTTTTTGACAGGATGTAATTTTTCTTTTACCAACTCTGGCACACAATTTAAAGGCAGGACGGAGTTCTAAATTTGAAAATTTGTTTGAAGCACTATTCCCAATAAAATTCCCATATAAAGTTTTTAATTTACACTGTAATTTTGCCGGTAATTTAATATTTTGTAATAAATGTAAAACTGGTGCCTGTCTTCCGAAATTCCCCGCAGTGGAAGCGCGGTTCGGAGCATGGAACTTCAAAGCCAAGTGGAATGTTACACATCCCATTGTTACGCTTTAGAACTCAAGAATGCGTTTGAATAAATTACAAGAGTTTCGCCTCCTGTTCTTTCACCTCCCTGCCACAACCATCCTTTTATTAATTATTTATCCCTATATACTATATGAATTGGTGTGTGATGATATGTTTACATGGATGAGCTCTCAGTGAACATACTGAATAACAAACTACATGTAGCTGTGTTTGCTTGTTCATCAGCCACACCGAAATTGAAAAGAACTTGGAATTGTTTGGCACACTACTGTTGTCCTTGATGTGGAACAAAGTGAAAATATACATTTATTTGTAATACATGGGTGTAGATTCATTCCCAGATGCTCTTTGTTATACATACCAGGGGCCCATCTTATGTAGGGGTGCAGTTGATCCGAGTCAATTGCGAGTCCTCCAATCAATCACAAATTTAAGATGGTCTTCTATCTCTTTAAATAAAGAGAAGGTGGAGTTCTGGGAAGAGGTAAATAAAATTTGTGAGCTTTATCATTGTTATTATGCAAGTGTGGAAGAACATCAGATAAAAAATGGTCCCTGAAAAGCATGGCTCTTCAAATGCATTCATATTATAAATATGGCATGTAACAACATAAAAATCGTGTTCGTGGAGCTCTGTATACATTTTGCTGTGTAACGTGCTTGTAACTTTACCAAGACTGGGACAAATTTCTCATCATTTTGATGATTTCTGAGCCTTGCAGTACGCACCAATACATACTGTATACCTGTTATGCTTCATGATCAACCTTTTCTGATCATTTCCACACCATTTCTTTCACAATGCAATTGCATAATATATATATCTGTAAAGCGCTTTGAGAGGGCCTTCGGACCTGAAAAGCACTATATACATGTAAGAACTAGCTATTATTATTATTATGACAGAAATCAACTTTATCTTTAAGTACCGGTACGCAGTTCCGGTCAGTTTCAAGTTGTTATCCATTTACATCAATCACAACACTTTATATTAAACACGGCTCAGAAATTGACTTCATCTGTAATAAAAAATGTCACTAAATGAATGGTCCTTCAAAACCATACAAAACTGCAATGCCACTTCACGTTGGTAACAGGTGAAGATCAACAACAGCGAACAAACAATTAAATGTATACTCAGTACAAGCATAGTTTTACCTAAAATTTAGGTCAACTTGTCGTCTAGGGCAAATGGGGTCAAGGATTTGGTGCTTAAGGTTCATGCATGACAGTCTTGCGGAGCTTACAAAGAGAAACCTTTTCAAAAGATACCTAGGAAATCATGTTTTTGAACTGGAAAGATTTAAGAATTGCTGCAGGCAATCAGAATCACAATGCTAGAATGAAAAGAAAGGGTTGACGAAGCAGCAGTACGTGTCTACAAACATAAACATTAAAATACTGTGTCTGAACTTTTTATTTGTCTGCATTTCTTTTTTCTTTTTAGTTCTCTTCCTCATACATGAACAACATCAACATGAACATTTATTTTCATTTTGTAAATGAATAAACATGTCATTCTTAGATATACAGATCACCTTCCCAAATACTGATCTTACATGTACATGCTCAAAGTAGTAAAAAAATAATACATAAAATTGACAGCACAGTACATGTACATGTACATGAAGGTATGTTAGCCCTGTTTCAGAATTGCAATACTTTGTTCTTTTGAACTATGGTATGGCATGAACATTTTCAGTATCTTAAGTTTCATGAAAATGTAGGAACTCATTTCAGAAAATAATGAACTAAAAAGCATTTACATTTATAACTGAAGGAATTTATAGCTGTAATGATGTAATTTGGAAGATTGCCAAATGGTGCCTTTAGGCTTATACGTGTACAGTATCTTATCTCATTCAGCTAGAGCTTTGTGGACCAAGTACATGTACATGGATCAATAATGTGGTTTTGTCAAGGTACCCATTTAAAGGGCCATTATGAATGTGTTAATTCATTGTGTACACAATACATGTACATAAACATGCTTACAGTACTTGCACAAGTCTAAAGGGCTAAATAATCTAGGGCTTCTGTTATAATCACTATCAGTGCACTGATAAAAAGAACGATTAACACTGTTCCACTGATTGAATTAGCATTATCCTGTAAACATTTCAATTCCTCCAAACCAAATCCAACTAGCTCTGAATATGCAGAAAAACCTGTTTGTTTATTTTTATTGAATCCTCAGGTATTTATTTTGACCTTCCTAATTAGTGGATCAGCGTGTCTTTTGTTGTTTTGAATTTTTCTGTCAAAACTCAAAAGAACATTTGGTCAATTCCCTTATTCCACTTTTTCCGTTCATCTCCTTTCATCCCAACTCATCTTTTAACAACCCCCCCCCCCCCCCCCACAAAAAACACAACAACAACAATAACAGTTGAAACATTTTTTTTCTCCTTCTATGTATTCTTCATTTCAAATCTGGGAAGAAAAAAAAAGAATGACTCAAGAGCCAATGTTTTGCACCTCAACATACATGTAGAATAGTGTACTGATAACCTTGCCACTCATAGAAATTGTTATCTTTTTGTCTCTTCCATGAAAATATTGAAATTTAAATATTATTTAGCGAAATTCATCATATAAGGTACTGTTAATAGCATTGCCATTCATTGCAGGTTGTTCTCTTCTTGTCTCTCCCATGAAAATAACTCTAGCAAAATTGATCAACATACCCTTGGAAATTTTCCAAAAATGTGTTTCCTTAATCCAGACGCGCAATTCAGGGATTAGAGTGTCATGAACATAGTAATTACCGTTCTATTTGGGACTGCCATCTACAGCTCTAGTGTGTAATCCAAGCTTGGGGTGTAGATTACATGTCGATCTCTTAATCAAAATTAAAATGGTAATGTTCAGATGAGCTTGACTATTTCAGGTCTCAAAGTTCTGGTTAATGATACATGTACATGTATGTATAAAATAGGTAATGACATTGTAGTACAATTGTACATTGAGCATTTTCATTTACTTGCATGCCACATACTGTAGCAAATGTCTGATAAATTGCTTTATAGAAATAAGATATTTACTGCTTTATATTTTTCAAACCATTTTGTAAACATGGCAGGGATTTCTCTCTTTATCGACGACATGAAATAAGAGAGAGAAAATGAATGTACCTACATGTAATTTGAGTTTGTTTGATTTTTATTTCTACATTTGTCAACATAATATACAGTAATACACACACTAGGTACATGTACATATTTTATTAACAAAAGTTCAAATACATACATGTATGTAATCGTATTATAATATTTAAGTCAATTAATAAATATACCTTTCAAAAAACACAATTGACGCATCATTTCAAAAGTTGGGCATCATTTCGGAAGTTGGATTGACACATACAAGAATTCATGAAAAGATATTCTCACTTTTCTTTTTGAAATACGAATGGAAAAGGGATGATTCTGTTCAATTCATTTGTGTTTGTGGATTGACACATACAGGAATTCATGAATAATTTCTATTAGAAATTCTCATTTTTCTTTTTGAAATACGAATGGAAAAGGGATGATTCTGTTCAATTCATTTGTGTTTGTGGATTGACACATACAGGAATTCATGAATAATTTCTATTAGAAATTCTCATTTTTATTTTTGAAATACGAATGGAAAAGGGATGATTCTGTTCAATTCATTTGTGTTTGTGGATTGACACATACAGGAATTCATGAATAATTTCTATTAGAAATTCTCATTTTTATTTTTGAAATACGAATGGAAAAGGGATGATTCTGTTCAATTCATTTGTGTTTGTGGATTGACACATACAGGAATTCATGAATAATTTCTATTAGAAATTCTCATTTTTCTTTTTGAAATACAAATGGAAAAGGGATTTTTCTGTACAATTCATTTGTGTTTGCATTTTGCACCATATTGTCATTAAATAATATGTATCTTTTTCTTGTTTTTCTTTTTGAAAAAATCGCTACAAACATGTACATTGTACGTACACAACTATTTCTAACATTTTACCATGAAATAACAGCATGTACATGTACCTTGTGCAATATTTGTATTAATTACACATTAACAATAGAGGAAAACTCAACATGTTTGCCGTATCCATGCATGCAGACAGACAACATACATTACAAAGTCATGTGTACCACTTCACATTGGCTGAATGCCAGTTTATTCATGGAACATTCATACAGCACTGTTGGTGTATAATCAAATATAAATTAGGCACCTGTAAATCACCTTATCCATATTGCCATGGGAAACCAATTTCCCCTTAGATTACACAGCGCATTGCTGTGTTTGATTTTGCAGCAAATGAATTGGAGGAGGAATTGAAAATGGAAGATGAATGTTCATGTATGTAGGACTGTGTTCTGTATTTCATTATAGGATGTAAAGAAATTGCCTGTTTTCCTTCACCCTTAAACCTGGATATATTCACTGTATTTATGAAGATATTGCCATCTGAATATATCCTTTTTGATGAAGTTGTTTTTACACTGTATGTATGTATGTATTGCTCTTTTTTCCATTATGTAGGGAATGGTGCTCATTATACATGTCCAGGGGGGTGTTTCACAAAGATTAAGATCAACTTTAAGTTGGACTTAACTATGGCAGGCTGTTCATGCCACTATTTTCTCTCATCATTTACTGGCATTGGTTTCTCAAGGGACGTACCAATCGTTGTCAAATATCTACAGAATTTACATTCTTTGATACTTCATTATTGTAGGAAAAAATATTATCTAAAGATTATAATTGAGAGACCATTGGTAAGAGCAACTGGTGGCATGAACGGCCTGCCATAGTTAAGTCCAACTTAAAGTTGATCTTAGTCTTTGTGAAACACTCCCCTGGACAGTAGTACATGTTTATAGTGTGCAAACTGGAAACTAATAATGAACATGTATATCTTGATATGAAGATACTCATTTCTTATTTATTTTATGCACTAATTTACTCCTACATGAAAAAAGTGCATTATTTTGTGCTATTTTGGATATCATTATTGGTCCACCTTGTTAAACCCACCTCTTAAAAGATCCTCCCCTCCCCTTACTCTCTCCATCTCCATCTCTCTCTCTCTCTCTCTCTCTCTCTCTCTCTCTCTTCCTGTTTCCTCTTCCCCCATCTCTCCTTCTCACTCTGTAATGTTTTTTTAAAATATATTTTCTGTATACAAAATTTGTGTTCCTTTATTTAATGGGAGACAGATTTGTGTATTTCTTTTCATGTAATGTAAATATTGAATCAATTTGAACATGATACATTGTTTGTGTGGGTCTTTTTATTTTGTATTTAATTCTATTGTTGAACATATTATGTAAACATGCTAGGATGTTGATGATTTCATTTTTTTTTTCTTCTTATGTTTCAGGTTATCTGAACTGGTGGCAAAAGACAGGAACATGTCCTAAACTATGGCCTATGGTAACCACAGGAGATGGTAACTGCCTTCTACATGCAGCATCATTAGGTAAATACAAACTATGGTCTTTAAAAAAATGTTTATATAAATGTACATGTAATTGTAAACATCGGCAGACTTTTTACAGTGTCATTTCACAAACCAGATTTGTTGAGTGTTGTGTTACCATTACCAATATCTCTTGGAGAAGTATGAAATCTAGAGATGAAATACTATAAAAACCAGAAAAATTTGGGAATACAATTGCAAGGTGCAAATATACTGCGCCATTGGGCCAATCAGCTGTGTGCTCTCAACTGTGGGATATATACATGTAGCTTGTTGTTTTACACCTTTCATTTTAAGTAGTCCCTCCGATTTCTCCTTAAAGAGAAGGTTGAGTTCTGGGAAGAGGTGAAAAATAATTTGTGAACTTTATCATTTTTATTATGCAAGTGTGGAAGAACATCAGATAAGACATGTTCCCTGAAAAGCATGGCTCTTCAAATGCCTTCATATTCTAAATATGTCATGTAACATCGTAAAACTTGGGGGGTAGGTTTTTACGCCACGTGTTCATGTAGTCCCATATACATCTTTCTGTGTACAGTGTTTGTAACTTTACCAAGACTTGGCCACATTTCTTATCATTTTGATGATTCCAGAACCTTGCAATACTACACGAATTCTTATACATGTATGCTAGATGATCAACCTTTTCTGGGTGATTCCACACCGTTTCTTTCACAATGCAATCGCATGACCAGAACTTAACTTCATCTTTAAATTTCTGAGCTGTAATACATACATGTATGTGCACATGCATAGCAGAATTATCAATAATGGACATCTCTGTAGATACAAACCAAGGAGTTCAGTTGCAGGGTATATAGAGCAGTTTATTTTTCTGGCTCTACACATAGAGAAATAAAGATGTACTTGTGATCAAACTTTTTTCGTAGTCGAGCCTACCCCCCCCCCCCCCCCACCCACCTTCCTTTCTATAAAAAATACTCATACTTCACAAAAACTCATTAATCTTTGAAACAATGTGCTCCACTATTGTGTACCTATTCTTGACGTTCTCTATTTTCATTTCATGTAGGTATGTGGGGTTTTCATGATCGTCAACTGACGCTACGCAAGGCCTTGTACAAAGATCTGTCAGATCATCAACACACAGCACATATGCAGAAACTAAAGAGAAGATGGCGCTGGCATCAGACATTAGCTAACAAGGAGGTCAGAAAAACACTTTAAAATAAAGTCATGGTAGAGTGAAGTTTTACAAAAAATAATTGAATAAAATGAATAAAAATACTTAAAGATACTATGTCCCTTTTGCAACCAACTTAAAAGTCTGTAGAACTTTGCAAGAATTATGTCATGTACATCCTATCTGTGAAATTTAAACTTAAGCAGTGTCCTAATATTCAAATTATGTAAGGAAACCCGCTTTGCTTGACTTCACTGTCAGACACCATTGATTGACTGACTGGCTTTTTTTCTTCTTTGGTAATAACATACATAAAATGAGCGGTAAAGGGTAGATGAGCATTTGTCTACATCAATACACTTCTTGTAATGGCAAAAATAAACTGATTGAATCTTGGCGCAGCATTAAACGTACGACCATTCGGTACAATGGTCTGAAAATCAGACTATTACTGACTGGCTCTATAGCTCTTAAGTCGATTTGACAACTAATAGTTGTTATTTTCCCACTTAAAGACATTTTCAAGCCCCCCCCCCTTTTTTTTTTAGGGAAGTTCTTAATTAGTATTATCTTTCAAATGCCATTGTTATTTAACCTTTTCATTTTTTTGGCCTGCAAATGGGACACAGTACCTTTAAAGGAATTTAAACAAAGTTTCAATAAATACCATGTCAATTTTTTTTTATTTTTTTTTTATACACCAGGATGTCAACATGAAAAAGGAAGACATTTGTCCAGGTTATACAAATGGATTAGCGAGAACCTACTTGTTTGGTTTATTATTACAGAAAAGAATAGACTCTGGGATTATGTAAAAAACATACAAATGTGAATAGAGTAATAGGAACCATTATTGATTTGATGTAATTGATTTTAACGAACCATTGTTTTCTCCCCTACAGTCTGGCCTGGTGTATTCGGAGGAAGAATGGGAAGAAGAATGGAAAGGTCTTCTCAAGCTGGCCTCCACCGTCCCAAGGAATCATAAGTTCAAGAACAACGGTAGCAAGCCCATGGGAGGAGGGTAAGAGCCTTTCTTTTCACTTTCTCAATCAGCTTCGTATCATGAGACAGTACATTGAACTTTGAAGCAATAGACTAGTTCACGGTTTATCTCTGCAATGACCCGAATATCCACAGATCTTCAAAACATGAAGAGGTCCCACTTTGTACATTTTGAAATAATCACTCCTACAGCAATGGCGGTGCCACATAAATAGCCTTTGTTTCCTCTTTTTCAAAGAATACTTCCACCTGTGTTTCATGGAGTGCTGTGCTTGTGCATGAATGAAGAATGATTACATAACTTTCATGAGCACGTATCCAGTATTTCGTCTGGGTGTATTTCACAATTTGTTCTTCAATGACCTTTATCTGCTCATGCTCAGACTGCAATCGTGAACTGGCTTTATTGTTTGGGCAAACATACAGGAGATAAAGATATGATGCAGCTCAGTGTACAAATAAAAAACCTCTCTGTCCTTGGTTTGAAAGCTCTTATATCACATCCAAAAGTAAAAGTGACCTGTAACAGGTTCGATGTCAAGAGTTCAGACATCTTCCTCAGACGCGAATTGGCAGACAGATAAACAAAATTACTTTGTGATGTGATCTATGTAAGAACTTACAAACCATGAGATGGGTCACATTATTGTATCCCCCGGCAGTATGCCGGTGGGGTACTTTGGATTCAGCAGCGTTACGCCGCCGCCGCGTCATATTCTTGTGTGCGCTCTCACTGCCACATTTCTTGATGGATTTCTTTCAAATTTTGTATGGAGGTGTATCCTGGTATAATCTACATACCTATAACTTTTGGTGATGCTGCCCCCAGTGTTCCGTCTTCTATAGGGTACAAGGCCATATTTCTGTGGATGGTTTGTGTGCGCTCTATAGGCCACATTTTTAAAGGGATTTTGTTCAAATTTTGAACGAAGGTGTATCTTGATATAATCTACAAGCCTATAGATTTTAGTGATGCTGCCTCCAATGTTCCGTCTTTTATAGGGTCAAAGGTCATATTTTGATAGATGTCTTGTGTGCACTCTAGTGTGCGCTCTAACTGCCACATTTCTTGACGAATTTCTTTCAAATTTTGTATGGAGGTGTATCCTGGTATAATCTACATACCTATAACTTTTGGTGATGCTGCCCCCAGTGTTCCGTCTTCTATAGGGTACAAGGCCATATTTTTGTGGATGGTTTGTGTGCGCTCTATAGGCCACATTTTTAAAGGGATTTTGTTCAATTAAGGTTCATTATAGTTTACTCTAGACCTCCACAAATTTGGTGCTGCTACCCCCCAGTATTCCATCTCTTATAGGGTCAAAGGTCATATTTAAAGGAATATCTTGTGTCGCTATGCAAATCACATTTCTTTCAAATTTTCTATAAATATGCATCATAATCTGATCTACACACCTATTGTTTTGGTGATGCTGCTCCTAGTCTTGACAATAGTCTGAGCCACTTGCGGCAATCTCTACGTCGTCCTTTTGTTTCACAAAGAAGAGAGGGAATCTTTGTCCCTCCTTCCACATAAGGATAACACAAAATCGTTGCCACTGCCGGGGGATACATTCGCATTGCGCGGCAATACAGATTGCAATATTTCTAGTTTATTTTGTTGTTGGGGGGGGGGGGGCAGGGTAAATACAGATGTATTAATACAGAATATAAGTTTAAAAGGCTTGCTACTGGTTGATGTAGACTCTTTACACTGTATTGAACCAACTAGTTAGCTGTAACATTCATATACATGTGCGCATTCATCTGGGTGTTCAGAGCTCGTAGTAGACTTTCAAGTTTAATTGTATGCTGAGCATATGCATATAACTGATGCAATAATAATAATAACAATAGCTCATTTTTAAAATGTGCCTAATACTTTGTTTCTAGGCGCAGCACATATTAATACCCCGGTCATCAGATCTAGGCTTACCCGCAACACAATGTATGCACATTTTCCACTCCCTGCGGAGCATTCCAGCCAGTCGACATTTTACAAGCCGTGTACATTTTCTCCTATAGACCCCTGCCCTCTGTAGCTGAGGATCAAGACTACCTGGACGACGATTCGGAGATCATGTACGAGAGCTTGGAAGAATTCCATGTCTTTGTTCTGTGCCACATCCTACGTCGACCCATCATCATTGTGGCCGACACTGTCCTTCGGGACTCCCAGGGCCAGCCTCTTGCCCCCATCCCATTCGGTGGTATCTACCTACCGGTAGAGCTGAATCCTGTAGAGTGCCATCGCTCACCCCTGGTCCTCACCTACGATGCCTCCCATTTCTCGGCTCTGGTGCCCATGGAGGTGGATAGCCACCGGGATAGCCACATGGAGCTCAAGAAACGGCCACCTGGTAGGTTTCTGATAATACTAATCAATAATGAATAATACTAAATCTGGATTTATGTGACGCTTAATATTGAATATTGTCTCTACTAAAGCGTTTTCAGGAACAGAGTTTGTTCCTTTTCCACTCAAAGCGACTGATTTTGAGCCCCAACATAGTACCTATATGTATATGTGATTTATGGGTGATAATGGGCTTTACTCAAAGGAAAACAGGGACTTGCAGGCATGGCAATTTCGTTCTTCCACTATAGAACAAGAATAAAAGTGATGAATAGGAGTAGTGTAATATGGGCTTGACATCATATGAAATATAGATTGTTTGTACCTCGCTGGCTCCTATACTTGAGGCGTACTAATAAGTCAGATAATAGACCGACAACAAACCTAAGAAATAGGTTTCATCCCCTGGAATGGCCAAGAATTGATCTGCTTGGACTTGATTTGGAGTTGGTCTTGCGGTGTGACAAAGGCTTAAACCACCACAAAGTCACAGGAATCATTTCTTTTGTTCTTTACATTCCTTAAACTAAAAGCTGTTGAATGGTAAGTCACTTTCAAGGTCTACCAACAGGCAACAAAGCATGCACTGACATCATGTGTACATACCAATCAATAATATGTATCTAAATAATAGGGGGCTTTGAAGTGGTGAACAAAAGAGGGCATTAAAGATTCAATCTCTCCTTTGAGCAGCCAAGAATGAAAGCAGTGGTAGTGTCTATGGAAATTGTATATTGTACTGTTAGGTTCAGCACAATCAGAATGACCATTCAGTTTATGGTCTAAGATTAGCTGAATAGATAAAAATACATAGAACGCGAGAATAATTTTATAATCTAAAAAGAAAAGGAAGAATAACCAGTCTCCCATGAAATCGAGAAACGCAAATTTTCTATAAGGTAATACCCGTATTTAAAAAAATTCAAAGGGAGGGTGAAGGAGAGATGGAGGAAGATGAAAGGGAAGGAATAGACGGGGGGGGGGGGGGGGGGGGGGGTCGTTAAAGAGGTGAGTATAACATGATAGACCAATAATAATTTTAAAATAGCAACAAATTTTGGGGGGGTTTTTTGTGGTTCTTTTTACATGTAAGATAACTGCGTGAAATAAATCAATAAGAAATGAGTATCTGCAAAGGAAGTTATACAATAGTTTCTACAATACTACTGTGCCAGACAAAATGGGTGCCATTCTCAACATGATGCAAGAAAGAGCATACTGGTAGTCAATCCAATTCATCACACAGGGGAATATCCAGGTTTAAGGGTGAAGGAAAATAGGCAATTTCTATATATCGTATCATATAGAATACAGAACACAATCCTACATAAATTAATCTGCCATTTTCCAAATTCCTCCAATGCATTAAAAAAAGGCTGCAATTCTATAAAAAAGGCAATTTGGTTTTTCATGGCCATATGCATATGGATAAGGTGATTTGTAGGTACCCAATTTACATTTCATTATACACCAACTATGATATATGCAAGTACCATGAATAAACTGGCATTCAGCCAATGCGAAATGGTATGTACAGTATGTTGTCTGCTTGCATACCGGTAGATCCAGCAAACATGTCGATTCTCATCTATTGTTCATGTATAACTAACCAAATCTACCGCAATGTACATGTACTTGTACATATTTTCTGTTTTCTGTGTGTGATTATGTTATATTTATACTATGCCTTCTTAAACTAAACTAAACTAACCAGTATTTATTTTGTTGTGAAATGATTAAAGTAGTTCTGTAAGTTATATGTTTGTAGCTATTTTTTTTTATAGAAAAACCAGATAAAGAAGTTCTTTTATTGGCAATATGTGCAAACACAACTCGTTTGTGACCCACCCGTAAGTAGCCAGAAAAGACTTTTTCTACAGTAGGCTTGCGGATGCACCATGTGAGAGAGAGGGAGGATCGAGGAGTCCTGAAAAGGACTCTCTGTAATCTTTCTTGAGGGTGTGTGATCCTCAAAAGGACTGTTGGTGTAGTCTTGAAAAAGACTGTTGGTTATCTTTTTTAGCTTATAGTTCTAACGAGAACTATAGCGCCGATTGGAGAGGATGGGTGACTTTTTAGTTTAGGGTTGATTCTGAAAGAGGAGATTCTCAGCTTTAAAATGATATATTACTCATCACAATCGGATGTCCCTGACTCAATTAAAAAAGAGAAGAATGTCCAGTCAAATAGAATGTTATTGTAGCTAAAAAGGTATTAAAAGTCTGTAGTCTAATTAAGCACTCTCGTAGAAACTGTATAGAAATGTCTGTGAAGGGAAAATCAGATTGTCCTAAAGCTTTACACATGGATTAAGCACATCCTGTTCTTTATTTCATTAAGTAATCAATGAAATAGCTTACTCAGTTCCTGTAATGGGGGTGTACGGAAAATTAGGTTTTAATTTGCTTTAATGCAACTTAAAGGGAAAATAATTGTTTAAATTTGTATTTTCATTGGATAGGGTCTTCAAAGGTATTACAAAGTTTTGGTATGGGGTCATGAATTTGGTTCAAATGAACATATTGGAAACATGCGATCCTACAATATTCAGTGATCACTGTTGCAGTTAAAATAGAGTCTAAAGTGAGGTAATTGTAAATAGTAAACTCTTTTCGTTATATAGCTCCCTCTAAAGGTCAAGATATTAATTTAGCTATAAAACAATGTTTCTTGACTAAAATCATCCGATTGGCTATTCCCATTTGGAAATTATATATCACAACTAAATATTGTGAGATTTTCACAGCGCAATTATCATTGTATACCCGTAGGCGCTATTTGAAAATTATCAAAATTTACCAGGAGCACCGATAAACTTTTGATATTAAATTTTTCTCGAAAGCAGAAGTATTTTAGGGGCTACATCTTTTTAGTGCTTATAATACATTCACAGGAGGATCCAAATATTTCAAATTTGTAAAGAATCTGTATCTGTTTCAAAATTTCCCCAAACTTTGTATTGCCTTTAACGTTCAAAGATTTTATTTTTTTCATCAGTCATCCCCATCACAGACTCCAAACATCACCTCCTAACCCTGCACTTCATCGTTGACCCCGGTATCGGCTGGCAGTGGAAGGACGAGAACCACAACGTCGACAAGACGAACGGCACCGACGGTGGCGACACGGCGATCCGCAAACTGTTCTACAGTCCCGGGGACAAGCTGAAACTTCTGCAGAAGTACCTGGAGCTGGTGAGGTTGGAAATACCGGACGTCCATCACCAGGAGAGCTCATCACCCACGCAGGGGGAAGAGTGGGAGCTGCTACCACCCAAGGAAAATGGCATGAAAACTGTCAAGGTGGGTTAAACTCCTGGGGCGTGTTTCATAAAAACAGTTCGTAAAGTTACGCATGACTTAAATGTGAAAAGCCAAATGGGATGCTCAATCATTTTTAACTGATGTTCAACTGTGCAGATGTAGATTAACATTCTTATTATAACAAACATTTTTAATGCAAAATATATTTTTTGCCATAATTTAATTGAGGTTATTGGAAATATATAGTCACACTTTGGGCATCCTATCTGGCACTTCATATTCAAGACGTTCATAAAGTCATGCGTAACTTTACGAACAGCTTTATGAAACTACTTGATATCTTCATATCCATCATATCCATCATATCTTCATATCTTCCATCCTTCATATTTTCAGGTATCATATTTTTCCATCAGAAAAATGTAAGAAAAACAGCATGAAAGCTGTCAATCACTGATATTCCAGACATCATAATATGTATAATATTCCGGATTTATATTTGTAATGCTTCATACTCCTAAGTGCTGTACAGATGTAGTATTAAAGTCTGGTAAAACAAAGTATAGCACATTCTCCACTCACAGGAGAGCATTCCAGCTAGGTTTTATTCTGCAGATCTTCACAATGATGAAGAAACCACATTTTCATTCTCTCTGAATAAATCAAAATATAAATTTGGGAAAGATTTCTTTTATTTTTTAACTTCATTATGATCTGGTTATAGTTTGATGCCGTATTATGGCCTTTTGAGAGCACATACCGGTAGGTATTGCACAAATTATTTGTAATCTCTATCAATGGAATAATATTTTCTCTTGATTCACAGGTTGAGGTAACAAGAAGCAACTCAAGTGGATCCGAGAAAAGTGACAGAAGTGGGGGCAAGGAGAAAGAGAAGTCTAGGTCATTTGGTAAGAAGCTGAAGCACTTTGCAGGACTTGATAAGGGCAAGAAAGGATCGTCCCGCAAAGATGGGCATGAGCAGTTTCACATCATCGAGGAGAAGAGCCAGGTGGAGAGACACCCACCCCACGTGAGCATTCAGGATGTTGCCGATCGTTCAGTCGTGGTAGCAGCAAAGATGGACGATATCAGGTTACAGGGTCATGAAGAGATGATCAGGAATTACATGGAGGTAGCCAAGGATCGCTTCCAGGAGGAGGTGACCTTGAAGAGGATGATCGCTGCCGAGAATCGCAGCAGACAGCAGCACAGGGTCCAGAGAGAGCAGCGCCCTCCAGAGGTCTATGTTGATGATGACGAAAGAACTAATGAGGCTGCCTATAACTTTGCTTCTCTTCCGCGTGCCCGTGTTAACGGGCCTATGTCTTCCAGGGTCAATCATGATTATCCTGATAATGGTAGAGGTGTGCAGTACGTCAATGCAACGGGTAGTAACCCAGGCAGTCCTGCCATGGAGCGCGTCACTAGTAGTACGTCCTACAATCCCACGGCCAAGCGACAAGGAGGGACCTACAGCCCGCAGCCAGTACATGCTGCACAGCGCTATCAAGCACAGACCCAATCGCCTCAGTTCCAAAGAACAGTACCCATCCAGAGACTCCACATCGACGACAGAAATCAAGAAATCCGCTCCAACGCTAACCCCTACGCTACTCACGTGAGGGGAAGACGTGTACCTCTGACAGGCGTAGAAGAGGCTACCAGACAGTGCCGTACGTACGGCTGTAAGTACTTTGGCTCAGAAAAGACTGATTATCTGTGCTCCCATTGTTATGATTCAATAATGCGAAAGAAGAAACCTGCTATGCGGTAGAGTAAAACCCTTACCAGGTATCTGTAATAGGAAGCAAATGAGGCACTTGATTGTGGATCCCTGTTCTATACTTTAAATAGGATTTGCTCATTTATCCCCATATCATCAGAGTCCAGAATGTCGGTCATACCTGGTAGTGAACTTTTGATTCTAGCATCTCTCGGCTTTCTTGACATAAAGTGCAGCTGTTTTCTCATAAGAGTGCCATGTTTAATCTCTTTTGTTCAGTATGGGGAGAGATGAAAAGAAATTGGGTTTTGTGGTCTTCATTATTTTATAAAATTTCCCAAGCTTCCAGAGTGAGGAGAAGAAGTGGATACTTTCTGTCTTAGAGTATAGCTAAGCAAACTTTTTACAAGGTATCTTTAAAAATTTACCATGACTTTTGTTTTAATTCAGTCAATCTATATTTCCATTATCTGTATAAAACTGTCAAGCCAAACATTTGCGTTTTTACGATATAACTGAATAAGTGTGAACTGTAGTTACAGTCTCATTCGGAGTGAAACTAAGCATACAGGAAATAATATGAAATACGTTCAAACTCAGTGAATCAATATTCATTACTTATGCAGTATATGAAATTCCTTGCTTTCATTCCTTTTTCTTTCCATAAGTATGATCTGTGTTCTTGAGGAAATCACTGAAAAGGCTTTTCTAGAACTATTTTCTAATATTCCAATTTGTTTAAATATTTTTGTTTTCATTCATGTTCGGACTTGGCATTTTTTTTAAAAATTCAAAATCAAAAGTTTCTTTTTCAGAAAGAAATAATGAACAATTTAAACAACTTTTACCTTGCTAGCTGCCATGATGCATACTGCCTGGATATATCTGGATCAAAGTGTAAACAAGAAAATATATTTATATCAATGGTTTTAATAATGTGTGAAGTAAAATATATACAACTACATGTATACATATTCTGGAACACCCGTTGTCATGTCAGAGTTGAGAATTCTCGCACTTTTATATATATATATATATATATATATATATATATAAGTACATCATCAGGCTGTTCTCAGAGTTCAGAATTCTTGTTATCACATCAATCTGTGGCACTCTTTGTGAAACATTTTAACATGAAATATGGCTTGATTAAAAGAAAATACTCTGACCCATTTGAATCGTAACACAAAATTATGATGATGCGTATGCATGTCTTGTGATTTATGCAAACACAATTGTGATAGGAGCCACCAATCCAAAATACAATGTAATTTTTTTATTGTTAAACAATTTTTTTTTGGATGAGAAAGATCATTTGTAAAATATTGATTATATCTAAAAACAGTACTATTAAGATGCAAAGATATTAAGATGTTGTATTGCAGTAATTGCTCTATGATTATATATTTTTTTCATTGAAAGATATGCAATGTAAATATGAAAACTATATTTAAGCTTATACATGTATTTCAAATTTTCAATTTGCCTTGAATCAAATACACTGTATGATTGTATTCAATTATCTTATGTACAAATGAACAATGCAGCGAATCATTTAAAATGATGAATTCAAAATACAGCAAAATTCTAGCAGCGAATCTGATTGAAATCCCCATATTCTAATGCAAATCCAATCATATTCTAAAATGATGTATTTATAGGATTTCTTTCAAAGTTATTGCATTCCTACCCATTCCTACAGTGTGCATATAGGTTCACATTTCATATGCAAGAAGCAGAGAAAGAAATTAATGCATTTAGTCACTTTATTTTTAAAAGAATGTCAAAATGTCACAAGTCTTCTTCCATCTAATAGTCATGCATAGCTGCCAACCATTCCGTAGTCCCGGAATTATTCTGCTTTTTCAGACAAATTATGTTTGTTTTTTCTTTCACAAAATACGTTTTTTAGATAATTGTTGTTTTGTTTTTTTGTTTTTTGTTTTTCTTCTTACACACACCTCATGTCAAACAACTGCCCTAAAATGTTATTTTGATTACAAAGTCAATAGAAAATTAAGGTTAAAACATATTGGAACAGAAAAATATTCTCAAAAAGAATGAAATGCCGATAATACCAAAATAAGAACAAAAAAATAACTCCTTGTAAATAAACTATAGGTCCTAACATGGAAAAAGACTGCATTGTCATACCTGCCAACCACCCCGATTTAGGCGGAGTTCCTCCGCATTTTTTAATACCAACTCCGAACTCCGAGTGCATGCCTCAAAACTTCGATTTTTTTTTAATTTAATTTTTTTTTTTTTTTTTTTTTTTAGAGTGTAATGCACTTGAAGAGTATATAACTATTATGTTTGTATTTTGAAATGTAAAGCGCCTTGAGCATGTTCATGTAAAGGCGCTCAATAAATACCAATATGTATGTATGTATGTATAAGACTAAAGCATAACACAGCACTGATAACCAGATCACGCCGACATCCGCGCTCGCGCTCATAGAAGATATACACAGCGACATGGAAAAAAAAAATAGACCCTAAAGTCCTGTGTACCCCCCCCCCCCTCCCAATCTACGGGCTACTACCCCAATCCTTCGGTGGTTCGCGACCTCGTAGTCCATCCAGAAAAATTTACTCCTAATTTCTCTTGTCTCAGGTTGGCAGGTATGCATTGTAAGTGTGTCACACGTGTTTGTTAGTTTCGTTTCAATGAGTTCCTTTTTTTTGTGCTTGAAATTCCTTTTCTTTGCCACCATGGTTCCTTTTTTTGGTCGTACAAGGTTGGCAGCCCTGGTTATGTTGTTTTTTCACATTCTTTGATCAGAAACAGAACTTAGGTAATATTTGTTTAGAGTCTGTGGGCCTGAGCCCCAGTAGAAATTTCATAGGGGGGGGGGGGGGGGGGAGGTCCAGACGTGGATATTGGGGGCTATGTCCCCAGGCACATTGGTATCAAGCTACCGATAGTCCTCTCAAGTGTTATTCACTGAGTGGTCACAATCTGATTTTTATAAAGTGGCCAGATCTATATTGATGAATCACAAATTGCATTGAAAAGATTATCATTGTGTTGGAAATACATATATGTTCAAAAATACTGAGTGAGAACAAAATGTATTTAAAAGAAAATCGAAATCGTAAATATTTTTTTTAACATTGATATTTGCTATGTCCATGAACTCTTCATATCTTCCCTTCCCAAGTAGCAAAAAGACTAAGAAAGATGTATAATTGATGTTTTTGTAATCATATAGCCACATATACAAACAAATGTACTTTTATTGATTTTACCTTACATCTCATTTACTTGTATTCCTTGTAAAAACTTCTATTCGTTGTAGAAACTTCTATCTTATGCGTGATGTCTGGTTAAGATTTACAACTCTTTGATCTAATTACATGTATCTTATTCATATTGAAACTTTTTAAAGACAAACGTATGTGAATTTGCTCAATCAAATAAATACTGAAATGGAAAAGTAAAGTATGTTGTGCATATTAAAATGAAAATATAGGTTATAAGTACATTAATTGCAGGGGAGCGCCAGGAGGGTCAAGTCTGACTGACATGAGCGTTACACACGAACCCACTATTATTGTTATTATAGTCTTTGGTCACGTCACACTCAAAGAAATTTTCCTGTTCATGTTCATTTATCAAATAAGGTCCACTCTTTTATTAAACTAATTTAACCATGGACCTACTAAGATAAGTCCGTGGTTTAACTCTATTTCTTAATTTGTTTCTATAGACATATGGCTGATTATAGTACAGTGTCCATGTATGCCTTAAACAAACTCAAATTTGTATAAATTATTGTGTATATTTTTTCTGCCTGCCTTTTTTAGCTTCCTTGAAATACAAATTTATGTAAATTAATTTTTTGTTCATATGAAATGTGTTCTCCAAGTTTCCTGCGTTTATAATAACAATATTCATGCATATGTGTACTGAGCAGAGGAGCAAGCTTGTATTCTGCACATAATCAACATGACTGCTTATTTCTTATGTCAAAGGTCAAACAGAGATATTTGTATATACTTGTTGAGGGAGGAAAAGTGTTACCTTGGGAAAGAAATTATATTTTGCTGAAGTAATTGTAATATTATATATTTGCTTTTAGAATAAAGAAATCATAGCCTTATTTCCTACAAAGCTATCAAGATGTGTACATTTCCTTTAATTTAGTGTCCAATGTGATCTTTATGTTGATTCATTTTCATGAAGAATTGCTTTATTTTGCTTGGAACAAAATATTCTTGTCAATATTTTGGATACCATGCTTCAATTTTATGGGCCTTTTGAACAGGATTTAAGAACAGAATCAGATCCAGGGCTGTCACTCTCACAAAAGAGTGGTAATTTATTGGAATTTATCATTTGTAGATCATGACATTACACTGAGAACAGTTCCTATGTCTTGTTGAGACGAGAACTGGGCTACGACCTAGATATTACTTAGTTGAATGGGTACTATTACGGTATGCATCTTAGTGGTTTTTGTGAAACTCCCGCCAAGATTGATCTTACTCTAATGTTTTATTTTGTGAAACGATGCACTTCTGTATGTTTACAATAATTATGTATTCTGTTGGAGCAGCAGTCTCTTCTTACTTTTATTTTTGCTCAATTATACATTCTTTACCTTTTGAATATAGTAAACAACAACAACAAGAAAAGACAAAAGAATTAAATGTGTCAAAAGGAGGACAATTGGCATATCCAGAATTGTTTTTGGGGAGGGGTAAAACACCCAAGCTTTAGTTGATAAAACTTGATACCTTTTTAATAAATGCCCCTGTCAAAATCTGATTGGTGCCCCTTTTCCGTAGACAAATGCCCATTTATCATTCTTATAAGTGCCTTTTTGCATACGTGGTGAGTGCCTCTTTATGTAGGTGTAAGAAGTGCCCCGTTTTCACCTCTGATAATTACCCCTTGTACTCACTGTTGACACATGCTTCTTTTTTAACTAATAGGTGTCTTATCCCTTTCGATAAATGTCCCCTTTTCCTTTCATCATTAAATGCGCCCCTAATTTCAGGCGACTAAGAGCAATTTCCTCCAAAGCTAGTCCGCTTTGCTCGCTCGCATTTATAGATGATATAATTATTTTACTTATCAAAGGTCTTTTCAGTCTTCCATTATGAGAATGTGAGTGTGATTAAGGCATTAAAATGTCTTTAAATAGGCAAACTTTGATACTAATTGAAAAAAGGAGACATTTATCCGAAAAATAATATGCACTTGATAACCCCAGAACGTTTCTGGCCATTTCTTCATTCCTAATTATGAATTACAATGAGATTGTAAGATTTTTAGTTGTAGGACAAATACAAGGACATTCCCACAGTGACGTCAAATGCGTCATCAAGCCACGTGACAGTATTACCTTTTTTCGAGGGGCGTAGCCCAGCAGGCGTGAGATCTGTGAAAAATGGATGGTTATTATCATTTGGGGGTCAATATAGAGATTTTCTGAAAAATCAGAGGCTGGAATATTAATAAGTAGTGGTGTTTTCATGTTTTGAAAGGCTATGTTAGTTGGGTTAGAGTGGTCCTTGAAGTCTATTTCTATAGCGAAGACTGCCGCTTGTTACGTCATTATACATGACACTAAACACTTTCAGCACACAACAGTATTATAAGTAAAGTAGTTCAGTCTATTTCTATAGCAGAAGACATTTTTCCGGATTGAGTTTATCCTAGTATTTAATTCTTTTACTTGATCCACAATCGTACACGAATAATATTAATGACTGTTTTAATTAAAGCTACCCCAAATGACAAAAAAAAGTAACTAGACTACAAACCTGCCGAAATGAAACCATTATTTTTCAGCATTGGTAACTAAAAGAAATGAGATGAGGATGTGCAATACATCATGCACGACATACACATATCATTAACATAATCTATTTCATGGCCTGAACACCTCCAGTACCATTATTGTTGACAGGCGAATTTAATTATAATATGACTAGGATAAGTCAGTGATTATAAACTGATGAAAAAAGTGGTGACAAAGGCTTTCTCAGGAAGCGCAAGAAAATTATAATGAAGGCCTCGTGATGTGTATTAATTAAGCACAAACAAATTCCGCTATTGAAGGTCAATATGCCATGTTAAATGCAAAAAAAAGGCCTTTATAGTTGAC